ACTGAGAAATAAAGAGTAGCTGGGATTTTCATCAGTAAAGAAATTAGGGCAACATCAGAATTATTTTGAGGGAGGCTTGAAGTTGATGGCTGAGAGGTAAAAAAAAAAAAAAGACTGCATACAGATGGACCAGACAAGAGAAGGCAGAAGGGCTAACTATCATGTGAGACCTGCAGAGACAATCATTGCTGTGGGCATTTTGGCAAGAGAAGGGAAAGAATTGGATTGTTAAACTATATACTGTGCTTTAGAAGCTGCACACTTTTCAGATGACTGTATAGTCCGCAGGGCACAAGAAGATTTATTCCACTGTGTTCAATGCCTTATTGATTTACTTTATTTCTGAAGATTCTAGACAGCTTGTGAACCATGTGGTCCTCTCTGTATATCTGTTTTGCTAATACAAATAATGAAGTTGTTCTCTGATCATAACTAATAGTGACTTTTTAAAATTAAATGTCCCAGGAAAGAGGGAACATTATCTTTTAAGTCCTGTTGCTGATTGGACACTCTGGATGGTTTACAGTACAGGTACACATGCATGCAATTAAAATCTAATAGAGACAGTTAAAATGAGCTCTAGTGGAACACATATTATTGAACAAGACTGTTTATTTTTCAGACAGAAATAAAGACTGTCTTGTCTTTACTTGAAGACAAATTTAAAGTTCCCAGTTGCATGGTATCAGAAGGATCCAGGAGAAGGCCTTTATGTATAGGGCTGAAATATCTTGGAAAATGAGAAAAACTTCTTTTTCCTCATCCTAATGTCTGGATAATGTCTTCCCCAAACCCCAAAAACTTTAACCTTAGACTGTCTACTATTGACCTCACCCCTTTCCTAAGAGGTCTGTAGGGGGCGTGCATAAGCGCACCAACGTGCCTACCGTCCCTGTCCTATTGTTTCTCTTATTCTTCTTTTATTTTTCTTATATGTACCCATTTCATGTATTCACAACTATGTATACACTTATACTTATTATCTTGTAAACAATTGGCAAATCAAATAAATAAATAAAAAATAAATAAATAAAATATAAAATAAATAAATAAAATAAATAAAAGATAAATCCATATAGAGCTATGTGGTTCCCAAGAAATGCTATGCTATTCATGACTGTAGAATCAACGCCCTCAATTGTGTCCAAAGGAAATAACAGATGGAGCTCTTCCAAGCTTTATGATTGCTTTGGACTTCCAGTGAGGTTTATGGCAGAATAGTTGTCCCTGAAGGAACAGGGATGGCATTGCAGTGGAGATCAGTGCTCAGACAGTGAATTCTGGCCAGCAGAGTCTTTCCAGATGAAGAGCAGATCATGAGATTGCCCACTTGAACTCCAGATAGCTGCTCCTCATGATAAATTGTAGAAATGGAAGTTTTTGTGGTTGGCTTGTGAGTTGATCAGTGGGAATTGATGAATTTCAAACAATCCCACAGCTGTAATGCAGCCTATAAATAACACAAGGTTTCCACAAGCCTAATTTCTTAAACACTTTTGGATGTAATTAAGTTGTAATTAGACTGGGTATGCCTGGTTTAATGAAAAGAAGGACTAGGAGTGACATGATAGCAGTGTTCCAATATCTCAGAGGCTGCCACAAAGAAGAGGGAGTCAAACTATTCTCCAAAGCACCTGAGAGCAGGACAAGAAGCAATGGGTGGAAACAAATCAAGGAGAGAAGCAACTTAGAACTAAGGAGAAATTTCATGACAGTTAGAACAATTAATCAGTGGAACAACTTGTCTCCAGAAGTTGTGAATGCTCCAACACTGGAAGTTTTTAAGAAGAGATTGGATAACCATTTGTTTGAAGTGGTGTACGGTTTCCTGCCTAGGCACAGAGTTGGACTAGGAGACCTTCAAGGTCTTTCCAACTCTGTTATTCTATTCTATTCTATTCTATTCTATTCTATTCTATTCTATTCTA